ATAGAGTGCTTGACTAGTTTCCTTTGCAAATCCCTTCGACCCGTCCTCATTCTAGGCCGTTCGAAAGTGAAAAACTGGACTGCTGGGCAAAAGCCGGGCGGCTTTCGTAGCCTGCAACTACGAATAACTCCCTATATGTGGCGGTTTCCGGCGATTTCGACTCTTATCGATTCACCAACTCTTCTAAGTTAATTAACACCACTTTATAACAATATTCTACACTTTTAAACGTGTAGAACTCGAGGTTTAATCCACCATATGATTTCTTAAAAATCATACACAATAAAACTAGTTAAAAGAACCATATGTGTTCTTACCTCAAGGCTTAGCTTTTTCCTCTATAGATTTCCCTTCCTTCTAGCCTCCTCCAAGCTTGTAGTTGTGAGAGATGTTTCAGTCCCTAATCCCTTTCCTAACTGGTCGTATGGTGTGGAGAGGAAGGAGAAAAATCCCTTCTCAATCAATGGGCAAATCTTGTCCAAGACAAGGTATGGGGTATGGGGTTTTGTCTCAATGAGACTTCCCACCTAATATGCACGCCCCTAGCTGCCTTCCTTGTCATTTGTAACACATAAGAACGTGGGGTGGCCCCCACTCATGTGGGAGGTCATCCTATTATGTTCCGGTATGTGTAATCGGCCCCGAAAGTTGTATTTCCCGGACTCTGAGCAAGATTACTTGGGTACCAATCTTGCTCAGAGATAGCTCCAGCACACAGTTCCTGCAAAATTAAAAGGAAGATTTAGGTACCCAAGAAATGTTGGGTCCTAGGGGGTCATGCAGTCTTGGCAGCCGGTACCACTTTGATCTCATCAAGTGAAACCTTGGTGGGTGGTACCCATTGTCCACCTGGTAGTCATAGTAAACAGAAGTGTGATTCACTTTGGGCAAATGCTTGTGAGGATCATGATTCCTGTTTACATACTTCTGCATAGCGTTTTTGGTTGGGTAGAAGTCCCATATACTATCAAGAGAAGAGGCGCGGTTAGCTTTGGGTTTCTGAAGTTGACCAGCCAACCTCTTCTGCCTGAAGTTAGCTTTCTCTTGATATTTGCCTCTCTGGTGATCATCTCTGGTGCGGTAGTCATGAGAATGTCTGGTAGAGTTTTGTCTTTGATTTCTGTTATTTTGAAAACCTTTTCTTTTGCAAAGTTTTCTGCCAGGTTCATTAGTTTTTTTAAAACTTATTTTGGCTGAACCTTTATCTTTTCCTTTTCTGGTCTGACTTTCTCATGTACCACCTTGGTACCAGATACACCAGTTTGACAAATGGGGCTAGAGATCAGTGGCACTATGACCTTAACTGCCTTAGCAACTCTGGTGCTAGGCATTATGGAATGCTCACCTGATTCTGTTGAACCATAACCAAGACCGAAACCAACACCAATTTGTTGATCAAGTACAATCTTTTCCATGGAAGACTGAGCCTTCTGGTAAGCTTTGTACTTAATCTCAAGAGACTCTATTTCTCTTATTCTCTTAAGAAGAGGAACATTTTCAGCTTCCAGCTGATCTCTTTCCTTAATTAGAAGATTGATTTTGATCTCAACCTCCTTTCTTAAGTCAAGAATCTCAACCTTAAGCTTACTGTTTTCTTCTATAATAGAGGAATAAGAGGCTTAGATGGCTTGAAACTCTTCCCAAAATTCTGACATTGAATCAGAATCAAAAGCTTTGCCTACCGAAGAAAACCTAGAGTTAGAAGTAGAGGATACCTCATCATTAGATTGACCCATGAGACATAGGTCTTCAGTCTCTGTATCCAGACAACAGAATGCCTCATCGGACTCTGATCCTGAGCTTGACTCTGTCTCAGAGAGAGAATACTTCTCTGGCTGCTCAGTGATGAGTGTCTTCCTCCTTCTGTGCTCATACTTCTTCTCTCCTTCTTGGCCTTGTCTCTTGGACACAAGAGGGTGTGGACAATTGGATTTGAAGTGCCCTGGTTGTCAGTTGTAGCAGAGAAGCTCTCCATTACTTTCTGAAGACTTGGTCTTCTGGTGTGGCTTTCTGCTGGAGGATGGACTTCTGCCATCCTTGGGCTTCAAGAATTTTCTGAACTTCCTGGCAAAAGCAGCCATATATTCGTCAGTTAAAAGTATGGAAGGGTCAAAGTTGTTTACCTGTGAGGTGCTGGCTGTGAAGGCAGTAGTTGTCCTGTCCTCAACTTCTTCTTTTTCTTCTTCATTCATCTCGAACTCATAAGACTTGAGATCAGAGATGAGTTTCTCAGTGCTGTAGGTTCTGAGATCCTTGCTGTCTCTCATGGAAGTGACCTTCATCTTCGAGGGTGAAGGTAGACCTCCGAGAACCTTTAAGTTGATCTCCTTGGGAGTAAGATCCTTCCCAAGTTCTGAAATCTCAGCAGTGAGGGTGAGCAGGCGTGCAAACATCTCAGCTATCATTCTTTGGGGAGACGTTTGAAGTCTTCAAACTTCTTCATGGCAATTGTGAGCTTGTTGTCTTTCTCCTGCTCATTACCAGCTCCTATCAGGGTAAGAGTATCCCAGATAGCCTTGGAAAGGGTACATTTCCTGATCCTTGTGAAGTACTTGTCATCAATGGCCTTGTACAAAATGTCCTTAGGTATGTTGTAGTGCGTAGAGATGAGCCTTCATGCGTATCTTCCAGTCATCAAACTTGGTAACTGAAAACATCAGATTCTTTGAAAGAGTGTTATCCATAATAGGAGATTAAAAGAGGCTAAAACAAGTGGATATCTGTTCAGAGAGTAACACTAGTGTAGAAAACACTTTTTATATGGGTTAAAAAGCACTTTTTATGTCGGTTCCCGTAACGACATAGTAGCCAGCGATATAGAAAGTCGGGGACTTTTCGTGTCGGGTAGTCGTACCCCTTATAGAATGTTTTTTATAACGGTTAGGAATTTAACCGTTATAGAATGTTTTCCGTGTTAGTCCAGTAATACCCATATAAAATCCTTTTTACATGGGTTAAATCACCAACCGTTATAAAAAGTCGATTTTTTTTGAAAAAAAAAATCGTATTTACTGTCATATATATATGTAATACCCAAGATTAATTTAAGCGGATTAATAGTACTACTCATACCAACAGAGGTGCATCTCCTTTTAAGGGATACCATCAACCAAGAACTCCAAAGTTATTCGTGCTTGCACGGGAGTAGTCTTAGGATGGGTGACCCCCTGGGAAGTTTCTCAGGGCGCGCATGAGTGAGGACAAAGTGCGCGGTAAAGGCTCGTGGTGGTTTGTGGGGATAGTACTAGAGGTCTGGAGTAACTCCCTCGGGTCCTGCAGGGCCGGGGTGTTACAGGTGGTATCAGAGCAACCCTGTGACAGTGTGCTGATACGTTGGATATCGGGCGGGCACTTAGCAGGGGAAAAGATTATGGGATATGATTGAGATTGGTTTATGGGCGCAACGAGGACGTTGCGTTCCGAAGTGAGGGTGATTGTAACACTTGAGATTTAATTTAAACGGATTAATAGTACTACTCATACCAATAAGGTGCATCTCCTTTTAAGGGAGCTCATTAGCCAAGAACTCCAAAGTTAAGCGTGCTTGCACGGGAGTAGTCTTGGGATGGGTGACCCCCTGGGAAGTTTCTCAGGGTGCGCACGAGTGAGGATAAAGTGCACGGAAAAGGCTAGTGGCGGTTTGTGAGGACAGTACTAGAGGTCAGAAGTAACTACCTCGGAGCCTGGAGGGCCGGGGTGTTACAAATGGTATCAGAGCAACCCTGCGACAATGTGCTGATCCGTTGGATATCAGGCGGGCACTTAGCGGGGCAAGATTCTGGGGTTTGATTAAGATTGGTTTAAGGGCGCAACGAGGACGTTGCGATCCTAAGTGGGGGTGATTGTAATACCCGAGATTAATTTAAGCGGATTAATAGTACTACTCATACCAACAGAGGTGCATCTCCTTTTAAGGGATACCATCAACCAAGAACTCCAAAGTTAAGCGTGCTTGCACGGGAGTAGTCTTAGAATGGGTGACCCCTTGGGAAGTTTCTCAGGGCGCGCATGAGTGAGGACAAAGTGCGCGGTAAAGGCTCGTGGTGGTTTGTGGGGACAGTACTAGAGGTCTGGAGTAACTACCTCGGGGCCTACACGGCCGGGGTGTTACAAGTGGTATCAGAGCAACCCTGCGACAGTGTGCTGATCCGTTGGATATCGGGCGGGCACTTAGCAGGGGAAAAGATTCTGGGATATGATTGAGATTGGTTTATGGGCGCAACGAGGACGTTGCGTTCCGAAGTGGGGGTGATTGTAACACTTGAGATTTAATTTAAACGGATTAATAGTACTACTCATACCAATAAGGTGCATCTCCTTTTAAGGGAGCTCATTAGCCAAGAACTCCAAAGTTAAGCGTGCTTGCATGAGAGTAGTCTTGGGATGGATGACCCCCTGGGAAGTTTCTCAGGGTGCGCACGAGTGAGGACAAAATGCGCGGAAAAGGCTAGTGGCGGTTTGTGAGGACACTACTAGAGGTCAGAAGTAACTACCTCGGAGCGTGGAGGGCCGGGGTGTTACAAATGGTATCAGAGCAACCCTGCGACAATGTGCTGATCCGTTGGATATCAGGCGGGCACTTAGCGGGGCAAGATTCTGGGGTTTGATTAAGATTGGTTTAAGGGCGCAACGAGGACGTTGCGATCCTAAGTGGGGGTGATTGTAATACCCGAGATTAATTTAAGCGGATTAATAGTACTACTCATACCAACAGAGGTGCATCTCCTTTTAAGGGATACCATCAACCAAGAACTCCAAAGTTAAGCGTGCCTGCACGGGAGTAGTCTTAGGATGGGTGACCCCCTGGGAAGTTTCTCAGGGCGCGCATGAGTGAGGACAAAGTGCGCGGTAAAGGCTCGTGGTGGTTTGTGGGGATAGTACTAGAGGTCTGGAGTAACTCCCTCGGGTCCTGTAGGGCCGGGGTGTTACAATATATGTATATATATATATAAGTGATTTTATATTTTAAAATGTAATGTTTTTATAAAAAAAGCTTTTCATTTTATCTTTATATATACAATAATATATATTACACCAAAGTACAAGTGAAATTCTTGAACCTAGCTTATAGTCTTGTTGTTTAGCTTGTGAATTTACAGAGATTTACATTGTTTACAAAAGTTCAAAAAAAAATCTATATACACAAACAACTTTTTCTTTGAATTGCTGCCAAACTTTCTCGTTTCTAGCATGTCAAATCCCCAGAGAGCAATCAGGAAATTGCAGCAGCTTTCCTCCTTCCTGGAGCTAAAAAACATGTCCACCCAATGCAGAAAAGTGTCTCCTTCTGCAGCAGGAATACTCCAATGCAGCTCCTTCCAAACCTGTCCTGCAAAATGACAAACAAAAAGTGCAGTTGGGAAAACAAGTGGCTTAATCGACTTGTACGGCAGGGCGTATAAATCATTAGCTTCAATGCTCACTGGCTCCTCAACGCTGATCAAAAGTTGAGATGAAGGGTCAGAAAATGACGCACCGCTAAATGACATATAATGAAGGCAGTACCACCCAATGACTCAAAGGAGAGTTTATTTTTACCTGACTGAGCTGAAAAGCTCCCAAATATCTCTTGCTCCTGCAGATGACATAATGATCCAGGCGTGGTTCTATGACTAAAGACATCCAAAAATACGAAGCCATGGTTTGTGTTGTAGTGAGTAAATGCAGGGATTGGAAAGGACACAATAAATAAATTGATTCATCAATTGAAAGAAAATGTTCGAGTAAACTGTGATACATGATGGAAGAGTAAAAAAAATTAGAATTATCAGAACGGGAGAACCCGCATAAGTCAGAACCTCCACTAATAGGAGAGAAAATCTTTTATCCCACTTTACCGATTTCATTTGGGTACCAACCAGGCAACCACCACATTCTGTTTGGCTAATGTCTATTAGCTAATTAACAGTCTAAATAAAGTTAATGCTAATTACTTTGATGGGAAAAGTGGGATAGAAGATTTCAATTCGTACTAAACTACCAGTGTACCAAAGCATATGCACAACTAATAGTGGTATCATCAGATTGTACCTCTCCTTGGAAAAACCTACCCATGTCATCTTGTTCACTGACGGTAGATTGTTTCAAGTGAGACTTGAATCCTTGAGGCAACTTTTAGAGAACGGACTGTTCCAAATGTTGCTGCAAATCTTCTGTAGACCTGTCACCATTGTCAAGTAGCTAAATGGTCAGTTTCTTTTTTCTTTCTTTACTATTTCAGAATGCAGTTCCACCAACATAGATTCCAAAGTATAACAAACTACCTTTCTTCAAGATTGTTGGAAAAATAGTATTAATAATGCGAGAAATGCCCAATTCTCATGACTAATTGTCTGTGCCAGAAATGCCCAATTCCTGAAGTTAGTTTGCCTTTTTTTCATTTGATAAATTGGAGTAATTGTATGCTTTCCTTCTTCAGGAATATGTGTCATGCCCCTCATGTGGCAGAACTCTGTTTGACCTTCAAGAGATAAGCGCAGAGATACGTGAGAAGATGTCGCACTTACCTGGTGTTTCAGTAAGTACCAAAACTGAGGAACTGGACTTTTGTTGGACTTCATTTTAATAATATAGTAATAGTAACTAGTAAGTGTAATAGTTCAGACTTCAGTACCCACTTCTTTCGGCTTAGCTAGGAGACTTATTACCAAATAGAATCTGTTTGGATCCCAAAAGATGCTAGGGACATGGAAAAAATGCCAAGGAAATTGAGATGTTTTACTCGAAATGTAAACGAAATTGAGATCTGATAGATGCTTCAATTTTTTTAGAAATGAAATAAACTTAAAAATGCATATGGTGTTTTGAACAAGTAATAAACATATATCAAGTTTAAACCATTATATTGTTATTTTTCATTCCAGTTTCTTCTATGGATGGGGTGCACCCTTTTTTTACCAACAAACTCATAATTCATTGTTAATATTTTTCTCTTTAAGATTGCTATAATGGGCTGCATTGTGAATGGGCCCGGGGAGATGGCCGATGCAGACTTTGGATATGTTGGTGGTGCTCCTGGGAAGAGCTTCCGTATATGATTTTTTCATATTACCTTAATCACAAAGAGCTTCTCTATATTAGTGAAATACGTAGCAATTCCAAACAAAGTTTGAGAGCTACACAAAAGAAACTTAAACAAAAATTAAAGCTTATTCAAGAACGAATCTACAGAAGAATAATTCTAAGAACCTGTTTGGGTAGGGGTTTTTGGCTGATATGATCAAATTTTCTATGAATCTGTTTTAGTCAAATTCAGTAGTTCTAATTTTGCTTTAATTCTACTAAACATAAGAAGAATAAGCCACATTTGAATACGAAATAGGCTCTAATACTAATGAATAAAGTTAAATCAACAAAGAAATCACATCCCATCAGAAACTCAACCCACCGAACAAACCCTTAGCAAATCGAATGGAAACAAGTTTCAAAACTGTATAATCGCAACCCATCAGAAACTCGACCCACCGAACAAACCCTTAGCAAATCGAATAGAAACAAGTTTCAAAACCCTTAGCAAACTAAAGTATAATCAGTACCTCTATAAATGTGTGCATTTCCATTCCACAACGTGCAGATCTCTAGCAAACTAAAAAGTTAGGAGTAAAAGTTCTTGATGTTTAATTTTCAAAAAAAAAATCTTAATGTTTATCACAAGTTAAATGCAATTAGACAAACCCTAGATAAAACTACACACAAATCGAATAGAAACAAGTTTCAAAACATCACCACTCTTATGTCAATAAATTTGTTTAAACATTTCACTTAGACATTTTTACAAACAGTTAATAGACATAAGAAAACAAAACGTTAGGAATGAAGTTCTTCATTCCTATCACAAATTAAATGCAATTCTACCAACCTCAAAGGAAACTACACATAAATTGAACCGAAATCGTAAAAACTAAAAAATATTTATTATGTAAAAAAGCTTTTTTACCTAGATGGTTAGGAATAAAGGTCTTAGGCGATAGAGATCAAGCAACTTGGATATTCTAGAGGACGGGCAACGAGGAGATCCGGCAGCAAGGAGCAGCGAGGAGATCCGGCAGCAAGGAGCAGCGAGGAGATCCGGCAGCGAGGAGCAGCTGCAGCGAGGAGATCCGGCAGCGAGGACCACTGGCAGTGAGGAACACCAGCGAGTAACACCCGCAGCAAGGGTCGTTGGAGAAGCTTGGGGAAACACAGAGCTTAGTGTGTGTCATGGAAGCTTGAGTTACGGAAGTGTATTGTGACCTTCTCAGCCGATGTCTGCGTAGGGTTTTGATATTGAGACTGAAACATTTCATAAGGGTCTTATTTGAACGGACATGGAAACTATTTTCTTTTAATTTTAAAACTGACCCCGAACCAGATCCAATTTAATTACAATTATGAATATGACCACGTTTTTTACATTCTATAACGGGTAAAGCTATGAACCGACGTGGATAAATTTTAAATTTTACAAATTTAACCCGTCCAGCAACATGAAACTTTAATTAATTATGAATATGACCCCGTTTCAGTATACCATAATAGTTAAATATTAACCCATATTAAAGGCTAGTTATAGAATGCATATTTTGCACTAGTGTAACCTAAAAGATTGCAAGAACGAGGAGGCTCTGATACCACTTGTTGGCCCCGTTTATAATGGGAACAGTCTAGAGGGGGGGTGAATAGATTGTTCAGGATTTTTCAAACTTTTCTCTAAGTCAACACTGACTTATTAGAGATGGTCGGATTCTGGTGACAGAGAAGGTTAAGTTCTGATGGCAGAACTGGACCTGGCAGCGGATTGGGTTCTGTCCGGGTAGCCTCAGAAAACACTAAGGCAAATGCCTTTCTGATCACTCTTAAGGAAGATCTGTTGTACACAGAGTCCAACCTATTGAGTTAAACAACTAGAATCTTAATGTGCAGAAATAAATGCGTAAAGTAAATGACACTCGGGATTTTTATAGTGGTTCAAGGAACAACGTGTTCCTCTAGTCCACTATTCTAGTAAGCTTGCAAAAACAACAGTTTACAATGCCTTCGTCCCTAGAGCTTAAGAAGCACTCCTCGTCTTCTTCAAGCCTAGTTGCCACCCGGGATGCAGTCCTGCTTCCTAATGGCTGGTCTCGTTTCATTGAGTCTCTTGGAAGTATCCCCACTTCACTTACTCCAGCTAGTTTGAGACGTCCCTTCTTTTTCAAGAAGTATTTGATTCAAGATCAGTTTTCTCCAACGTAGCTTCTTCACAAAGGATATGTAGATGAGGCTTTCGAAGTGTTGAAGAACTGAGGAACTTTGCTACTTTCAGTTGGATGAAGGATATGAGAGTATATCTTCCAACTTAAGCTTTTCTTGTTGAGGTGAGTGAGTTTGTGATCTTAAGAGAGCTTTGAGTGTTTTTTTGTTTAGAGCGAAATATTGAGCAAAGTTATCCTGGTAGTTCCTCGAAGTGTATCTTATATATTGGGAGCGGTCTTCCCGTTAGAGTGTAGAAGATAGCTTCATTAAATGCTTGTACTATGGATTTGACCGGTTGGACCTTCGACTTGCTATTTTGGGGGCGAAAGGATATCCGCATGGTCAATCATCAGCTTTAAATATATCTTCGTACGTACCGCATTAATTGAGTATTTAATGCGTGTACAGTACCATGTTCCCATCGAATGGCTCCTAGCCGTTAGGGTATTTCCCGTTAGTTTCACGGCCGTTGGAAAGTGCCACTGAATTCTGCTAAGTAAGAGAAAGTCTGAAGAGGTTCTCTGGTTCAAACTCTGATGACCGTCTCTGATGCCAACTCTGGTACTTACACTGGTACCCAGCTCTGGTAGCTTCTCTGATGAGCAACTCTGGGAGCAACTCTCATCAAGAAGTTCAAGAGGGTCTCTGGCACGTCGACTAAGCTAATACTTACAGAAAGAAATTCTAATACATAATTTCTAGGGGGCGGGGGTACTTTACAATTCTAATTAACCTAGCATCATCAAAATCTAAATTCATTTATTCCTTACAATTATCAAACATTACTCCTAAATGAGTAACTATAAAGATAATGATCAAATGTATTAGAAATATATAGAGGTATGTGGTTGGTTAAGATGAGATTTGTCACTTTCATATATTGAGAGAAGATATCTTTGGGCCCCTTGATAAGTATATTTAATTATAGCATGGCCATGCACAAATGAGGTATCATTTGTATTAAATATACTTGGAAATCAAGATACAATGATTGAACTATACAAGAATTACACTCGCCTAGTCTTGTGTTCAATCTAGATATCGTTTGGCAAAAGGAATATATATGTGACATAATATATATAAATTGTGTCGTTTTGAATTTTATATCCTTTGGATAATAATAATAATGTCTTACTAGAGACTGCTTTTTATTTGTATAATTAAAAGAGTATTTAATTATACTACCAAAGGAATATAAACCTACAGGGTCGCACACTAAAACGTTTTGGATCAGAATCGGATAGTGTTTGAGTCCAAATGACTTCAAGACCATATCCGTTTGTTGCTAGGGTTTTCTATATTATGTTCTCTATAAAAGGAGGAGCCTAAGAGCTTAATATTGCTGGCCGTTCTCATACATACATGAGACAAAATATAATTTGAGAAAACTCTTTGGATGCTAGTACATTGAGCAAGACTGATCCGATCGTGTGTGTGACCCGTAGAGGCGTGGTACTTTCTACGCTAGAACGACATAAACAAGTGCTAAGACCTAGTTTTCCATTGATCCATCAAAAGGTATGGTTTCATACGAACTTATAATGATTAGTTTCTTGATTTGTTGCAAACTATATTGCTTATTAGCAATTGAAATTCATGGAATAGTATAGATCCTTTGTAAATGTTTTTGCTTCGTATCAAGCATGAGATGCATGTTCGTAGCTCGTTTCCTAACAGTTGTATCAGAGCCTTGGCTTACTATTCCATGGTTTTCAATTGGCATATTAGTATTTTTGAAAGAATCATGCAATACATCAAGTTTTGATCGAACTTTTGTATCATGTTTGTTGCGTTTCACAAACTGTCCATATTTCTTGAATATGACTTTCTTGAGATCTGATTATGGACTAGAACGAATTGCAACATCAATGTTTTTTGTTTTTAAGTATGATTATTAGGAAAGTT